AAAAGGGACAAAAATGTTTTCATCTCTAAACCGTAAGGTCGGCGTCAACGTCATCCGAGTTTTGTAGCTAGTTACAAATAGTGAAACGTCACAACAGCCATGAATTGGTGCATGAGTTACTACTAACCTTATGTTGAACAACCCCACCAACTCTTTAAGGCGTGATGGTTGGGAGCGTATTACATTATCAGAAAGGTATCTGTGTGTAAACTCTACCTACTCAAACGGTAAGTGACAGCGCTCAATCTACCATAGAATACAATAGGTCGTTGTCAAAACCGATCTATTTTCACCACTTTTGTTGCTGGTCTGTCCATGTTGTCAGTAAAAATTTACCGTGGACGCTTTTATAGTTTTTGTGCTTGTGGAAACAGTGAATTCGGCCTGTCACCGCATTCACATCTATACAAGTATCTTTGTGATTCACCGCCTTGGTTCCCTACGTCTTCCCCATTCCGTGTGGACAAAATCAGCCGTGGTCAGTTCTGTCTAAGATCAACTCGATATTCTCTTGCTACCAGAGGATTGGCTGACGTAACCCTTGACTCTGATCGCCAGCGGAAGTGCACTAGGTTACTCAAATGACTGAAATAGATTAACTTTGCCGGTGATGTGAGTGTGTGTTAGTAATATTCATCTTTTGGTGTGATTATAAGTGTGGATAGCACCACCGTCAAACACTTTTCGAGATGAACAGCTTTCAACGCAAACAGTGTTTCCTAGAGTATAAATGTTTCTCTAGTTTTGGTCTGAATACAGGTGTCACATATGTACTCTACAACGGTGTTTTTGTTAGTTTGCGTCTGACAAGACCACAATAGTATCATGCCCCCTCTTTTGTAGAAAACAATCATTTCAACATTCTTATCGTTTTTAAATTCTGTCACGGAGTACAAATTTGGGATATCTGCTTTACGCTTAAGAAGAGAGTTTGAATAGAATACCATCGGCCTTTGCTATTGGTACATGCTGCTTCCGCTACGAATAACACTCAGACAGAATAAAGCAGTTTTCCGTCGTAAATGTGACACTACACTCACACCTTAAGTGAATATTCATGTCTTTGGCTTCAGGTTTACATAGTAAGTTAACACTCTGGCATTTTCTTCTTCGGAGTGAAGTATTTTCGAAAAATATTTTTCGTTCGTAATGTTTCATACGTGCATCCGCGGACCACGTTCGTAGCTCGTGTCATCCATCGCATATCTTCAGCGGTGACACATGCGTCAAAATTCAGTATATATAAAAATGTGTAATAACTCGGCCCGGAATCTGTGATGCAGGTGTGTATCACGTGATATCATGATGTCTCACTGTTTTCAATTATGTCTGTGTCAGTGTTGTCTGAGGACCGATGAGATACAATTATGGAGGCCACGAGACCCGTAGTCACATTTATTTGAGAGCTAAATATTATGTATATAAGTATAAATAAAATAATCGATTACAGCTGACCACATGTGGAAAATGTTATACGTGGATTTCTAGGTTTTCAGTCGAAAAAATCTGGGCTTGATGCTATTAATTAAGGTAGTGCTCGAGCCCATAATTTCGACACTATGGAGCGTTTTGACACAAATGCACTTTGCAACTCAGCTTTTTCCAAGCAGTAAAGTGGCTGAGACTGTGCAGTCGGATTCCGGTGCAAAATCTGTTTATTTCTCGTAATTAGAAACACAATAGTGATTTCGGTCTAAGAAGCAGGATTTCACATATTTGAGGGGTTTTAATTGTTCAATTTATAATGTTTGGTAGATTGATTTTCTGTTTTGAATTGTGATAAGTTCAATAGCCTCGGTGGAATTTGCCTATTACGCTGTTCTTAAAGCGCACTCTTCACCAGCTGAGCTAGGAGGCCACACCACTAGCACAGATATTTTCACGTTTGGATCACCCATCGAACTTGCATAGACATTTGGAATCCACCAGGTAGCATGTAAGCTGATAGCCCTGGCAGGTGCTCCTAACGATTCATTGGAGGGCACCGATTAAACTTCTAAGGCATAATTATTGCTTACTTTTTGTTGTCCGGTAGACTGAATGAATTCCGGTGCATTTTAAGGAAAACTTGTCGTGGTAGTCACTTCACACAGTGGGTTCCATATGCCTCTGTTGGTTGAGTGGGTTCTAATTTTCATTGATTTTCGTCAAGTGTGTTAATTTTCTTTCCAATTTCTCACACGTATCCCTTGCTAGAGGAAAGAACGGTTTCCTGAGTAACACGAATGACAGCTTTTATGACGCAGACATTGCTGGTGAGGCCGATACACATGATAATTTGTTATCTCAGTTTTATAGTCGGATTTCAAAGACCAAGAATTTAACTAGTTAAAGTGAGAGAATTAATAAATGCGATTTTCCGGATTTCCTAATCGAGATTCATGGTCTGTTGTCACGCGGTTCAGTGAATGTCCAGTTAGCGGTTTATCTTGAAATTTCCATCAGTCTCGAAGGAAATGTGTGTGGGACATGTTTGAAGCTGCTTTTATAGAGGAACACGTTTGTTATTTATTTACATGATTCCATAAGAATCTAATCAAGTTAACTGATGCTCAATCTTTATATGAGACAATTTCAGAGTTAAATTCTAAGGAAAATTAGTAACATTTTTTAATCGAGCACATGATGAAATTATGTTCAATCGATTTCCCACAGCGGAAAACTCCGTTTTATGTATTTAATAGAACACAAGCGAAGGTGGATGAGACTTACGGTTCGAAATGAAGTCTATCAGGATTAATTCGTTTTAAATGGTTTGACAACAACAACAACTTATTATACTATTCACCTTAAATTTGATAAAAGATTAACTACTTCATTACGTAACATTGTTGCTATCTGATCAAAAATGGTGTGACACGTGCTTTCAAAGATTCGCTTAAACAAAATTCATCGGGATGTTTGGCGCGAAATCCTATCTAACTATAACCTGCGAGCACACTGTTGCCTATTCTACCTGGCAGGTTGTATCGAAGTGTACCAACAAGAGTTTATATCCCCGCATATCTGTCGCACTGTGAAATCAAAACAGTATTCTATTTCGGCTCCGAATGAATCCTTTAACAAATACGATTTTGTAAAAGCAGTCAGATCCAGGTGTTTTACGTGTTTTCAGGGGTGATCGAGGGTGATGGATGAGTTTGAGTCATCGTCTAGTTGAAGTATTAATTACTGGAGTTTTTCAAGTTTTGTGTTTGTTATTTGATATAAGCTCCGTATCGTTACTAAGTGCATACTACTGGTCGTGAGTTGGCGCTTACCCTGGTCAAGTTACTTCTGTTTTCAGGCGAACAGTAGCTCCTTGTTATGTTTGTGCCAATTCTCAGTGAATCCGTTTGAACTAGTACTTCAAGGTTGATTGATTGTTTTGCTTCTAAACCGTCTGATTTACAGGATTCTTGTATCAAGCATCGGCGAATCGTTCTGGGGATATCAAATCCAGGTTTCCCGGTTACATCCAAAAATTATAGACTATAGAACGGCTAAAAAACACTCCCACTACTATCTTGTTTGAATCCAGCAGTTAAATATCCCAGTTTCCCTTTGGAATAGTTTGGCTTAGTGGAAAACTGTCGAAGACCCATTCAATGGTTGTGCAATATCTCTTATGAGTAATCCTGTTCACGTAAATTAAGTGAGCTACAACATTTCTCTGTGTGTGGAATTCTGATATGTACTACCTACGGATCACAGTAGTGCTTCAGTCATCCGGTCAATCAATGGATCTCCGTATGGAACTCCACAAAAGGCGATCTTAGCTGCTGGTGACCGTGAGCAGAAGATCAGGAATAGGAATGATCATAATTGCTTTGAATTTGTTAAAACACTGACCACGTCAGTAGGTCATTTGTTTTGTTTTAATTTGCAATTTTTGGTAGTTTTATTTTTAATTTTTAATTTTAGTTATTGAACAGGTGATAAAGAGTTTTCAGGAAAGGAAAACGGCTAAGCAGAGGGCTGTCATCATTATCAGTTGATAGAGCTGATAATTGCTAACAGTGGCGAAGTGACACTAAAGTGTTTTGTAAAGAAACTATTTAACTGATGATATAATGAAGGTTCATGATAACGATGATGGTATTAATAATCACGATAGTAGTTAGTTTATATTATGAAATCTGTCTTATCGAGAGAAAACAAAGCTTTAAATTAAAAGATAGGGAGCAATAAACAGCTGTTTTGACTTGGGTAACTCTTATCAGCAGTAGGAACACCTAGATAGAGGTGGAGAGCAAACTCGGGGACCACATCATTAGAACGCAAGAATACTAACGCAGTTGACCATTGGGCAGCTGATGAGAGTGTTGTTTACGTTATGTTTATGTACCGGATGTTGGATAGTTCCTATTTGCCAGCTGGTTGCGGGCATCTTGCCTCATCCAACGCAGCGCTAGATTTTAGGGTTGTGACTTGGTAGAAAAGATTCTAATCTGACTACTGTGGCATGGATTTTACGGGCGAAATGAACATAAAACAATCCCATTAGCTGCCCGATAATTAGACGGGTGGTATGCTTCAGCTCTAAATGTGAAGTCCCCGGGCTGGATCCTCAGTTTGCTCGATAGAGTCGCACTACTGATGAGAGCCAACTAGGTTAAAACAGCTGTCCAGTGTTTCCTAGCTTTTCAGTTCATGTCTCAGGTGCTCTGTACGCGACGAAGTTCACCACATAACCAAATCGAATCTTCATTTACCCTCACGTATTAACTATCATTATGATGATTTTTGGGACAAAATTAATAGCATTTCTGATATTTGGCGTGAACCGTAGTCCTATGGACTGTGAACCATGTCAATTCTTGTACGCGAAACGTCCTTGTGGGATCTGCGGGATGCACCTAGAAAATCATCCAATCTAAGTATCAATAACGGACCAAGAACTCAAAACCGTTCCTAGGATAGCAAAATAGCCTGTCCTCGTAGGCACATTTTATCAATTCAACACTTTTACTATTCATTTAACTACGTTATAGGGTTCTACAGAAAGAAATGGGACGTACTTCAACTTGACCGGCTGAATGATGATTCCAGTGCTCCGAATCCGGCATTTCCGAATCATCAAAAGATTGGCCCAGATCGCTACACACAGAGACGCCATCGATCTGAATCTGCGGGATTTTTGGTTGTCGACTACGCATCCGCGATCGCGAATCACGGAACGACCCGCACACTGAGGCCGACTCATCCTGGGTTGTTTGTCGAGAAGATGTGGATGAGGTCCGTGAACGAGGATATTTTTGAACAGAGGTTTGTCGAGGAAGACGTATCGGTCTGGACAGCATCGCACCGTTCTCCTCAAAAGAGGTGCTATCGTAGACACTGCTGTTCACATCTACGTCCGATGCGTCATCCGACGGAACATTTAGCTGATCGATTTCTTCCAGGGCCAGATTTCCGGTGGACACTGATCGACTGCTCTGGCCTGGTTTGGTATCAGGTATTGAATATCAAATAGTATGACACAGGGTATAAATGTCGGCACATGGTCACATTGAATGCGAGTGAAATGACTTGAATTTCAACGCAATGATTGGAAATGTTGTTGAAGTGTTAGTCACGAATATACGTACTCCTAGAGAATGAATAATTATTTAAGTTTCTTAGTTTCTCAAAAATCGGGATTCTCTCCACAACAGTTATCGACTAAACAAAAAAGATGTTATGAGCAATATGTGTTTGGTAGCACCGAAATTAATTCCTAGGTTGACACTGAATTTCCATTTGGTCATGTGAAATGATTTATTTAACTGAATTTTGGTTTTCTGCCATGAAACAGAGTAACCTACCTCGCTTTGATATTCAATAAACTCATTGGAGCGGACGTTTGAAGATTACTGTATGAATAGCTATGCACATAGGCAGAACACCAACAGGTTATAAAAACCTCTACTAAGTGTCTCGTAAGAGATGTACATTTTCTACAAGCATATGAACAGTTAACGGCCTCGCTACTCCCCGAATTTTTAACAACTGCTATGCAGGATTGTGAGTGTTGAGGGTTATCAATGACCTCAATAGATGGTTTAACGTAAGTATTACCTCGTCCCTAGTGGAGCTTCAGTTTTGACTACCATAAACTATTCATAAATAATTCAACAGTTCAATCTGGTCAGTTATAATAGTGATGTTTTCCATAAATCAATAATCATGTGTGTGACAGTGCTCTTCTCTCCAGGCGGTCCTAGAACATGGAGAGATCACTCCCGATTCAATTGACTGGATGACTGAAGCGTTTCATACAATCACTGTGGATCTGAGATAGAAATGCAGAAATTCGTTGCGGCAGTTTGACGTACCTGGTAGTACATGTGCTATTACTGAACCTTGGGGAATCAGTGTTAAATAAGCAATAGTAAAACAGCCATATGAAGGCATGATGTGAATTAGGCAAACGACCTGTACCGTAATTTCAAAAGATCCATTTTCCTAAACTAAGGTGACTTCGTTTAATGCTATATTCCGTATAGCATGCATTTTTGCTTATCGCAGCTTCCGCAGATGCATTTGGAAAACACATTGAGAAATGAAGGGAGGGTTATGGATTGGCAGAGACCCTGTGCCGGAGTGTTTTATGTGGTTTTACATTTTGAAATGCGTTATAAACGAACAGAATGCTTTCTTTAAGTGACAGATTTCACCCATCTTCTATCTGGACTTCAAAGTCAATGAAAAGGTTCTACGACGATGCTTAGTGTTGTGCTCTTATCGGCTTGGTAACTAACGTTCCCGTCAACAAACAGCATGAATTTTAATCGATGACCCTTAATGAGATACATTTGCTACCAGATAGCAGGTAAAAATAAAAACAATGTACTATAACCTCTATCGGGAACTTCCAAGGCGATAAACCATAGTCCACTGTCAGTGTACCCTATAGAATGCACACTCAATCGTGAAAGCTACGCATCCCCATTTGCAGGCATCTTACTTAAAGATGATAACAAATTTGTAAATGAGGCGGTCTTACACGGTCCGTTCACTGCAAGCCGAAGCAAATTATAAGAGACGTAGATTTTGGTGTCTTAGGTAGACCAGCGGACCGGAGGTCAAGTGCGTGATGCTCTTACGTTCTATCTCTGAGCTCGTCGGATTCGATCCTCAGTTTGATCGATAGATTTGGACCGCTGAGGGGCTTCATTCAATTTGATATAGCTTTCCACTGCTTCCAAGTATTTCAGTTTATGGTTCAATCGTTCTGTACACGACGAATAGCCCAATAAAATCGAATCATTTAGTCCACTGATGTCATTTATACTTTCTCTAACTGATACCGTCGCCTGAAGTAGGCTTTCTATAATCTGAGTGTCATGTCTGCGGACGGTGTCGAGGTAGCGGGAGTAAATTTGGTGCCTGATGTGTTGGTAGATTGATGTTGGTCACTCAAATAATTTTTCCCACTAAATCTTGAAACTTGCAACTTTTAACTGCAGTTATTGACAGTCCTCAAAAGACAGTTACCATTATAGGATCTAATGACCGTAAAGAAGCAATTCTCACTCAAAACTCTGGAGACTTGATTACAATTACTGAAGGATGCAAGCAAAGTTCTGGGGTGACTCATCTGGTTTGCGTAAATTAGTTACTTGTAAAACATTAGACAGGTTTTCCTCTTCAAAGAACATTCTTCCTCTGAATCTCTGACACAAAATGTTCAGGCATGGGCACAGTGTGCAAAAGGGTTCCAATATATTAAGAAAAACTGTAGTATCCCGCTAACAGATTGTGCTGTCGGTTTCCAAGGGGCACAATTCGTCCTGTAATGACTGAACTGAACTTATCCAAAACAAATACAAGGTTCTGTCATTGAAAATTTGATTCATAATCTGCTGTGTTTTCATTCCAGTTTGCTTGTGAACAAAGAGAGACGGTTGATGTTTTCGTTTTCAATGGTCAATTGGAGTGGAACAACCAAGTAAAGATAGATTCTGTGTCCATCTCACTTATTCCTGACTATTTCTAGGGGTGCATAACATCAACCGCGCACGTAGTGTATTCGACTCCGTCCAAATTTACACCTCTTCGTTTATCTCGAAAGCCTGTACTTAATGACTTAGCCGTACTTAAAAACTGATGCATGCAATTTTCTATTTGGTAAAAACAGCAGACAAAAGATGATTGGTGTTATCGGTCATAAGGCTCGGACACCCGGCCTCAAGATAAACAGCCCGCCCCATCAACTTTCCGTCCCTCAAAATGATTTTTCGGCCAATGAAATATATGTTGTCACGATTACGAATCGCCGAAATCGCTTGTGTTAGTCTGTCCGTGTTCTTCTGATATTCCGTAAATTTCCAGTATCACTATTCGGAAATTTTGATTTAATTTATTCGGATTTTTGTACTTGTTGTCTTGTCATGACATTTTGCCGAATAGCAGTTGGGATTCAACGCCTCTAGGAGACAAACTGTGGTAGAGCTAATATGAGAGCCTATACTACGGTATTTTCACCATTAAATCAGTTTTCGACGATGGGTTGTTCTATTTCAATGGGATTAACTGACTAGAAGCCCAAGTATGACATACTGATTTCGTTCATCAGAGAAGGGTAGTTCCATTAGTTTTGTGCGCTCGACCAAGTTTGCTCTAGACCAATTCCAGTGGTTACGCAGCTCCCATGCTAGCAGCAGTGTGCCACCAATAAATATTAACCCGATATGGGAGTGCAACGTTGACACGACGCTGTTAGTGGAGTAAACAGAGCGAGGGTACATAATCAACTAAAATAATCGGTTGATTTGGTTTTATTTCGTATGAATTCAACATCCCTCGAAAGCTCTGAAATGGGTAGAACTTATCCACCGGTGGTTACTCCCGTTCTAGTGATTCGCCGTTGTTCATTCAAAACTGAATCATATTACTTCGACGAGAATACGAACCGGAGGGCAACCTAGTACGCATTCTTGTTAACTTCGATGAGTTCTGTGAGCTCAAAAATAAGTGTGTTATGTAAACGTCTGATATTCAGAACAACCACGCAAAACGTATGAATCAAGTCAGATGGTATGAGCGGTGCCCATATGGGTACTCAAAGAAGGTTTTGAAATCAACCATCAAATGAAATATTTTTGTGCCTTTATCTTATGTTTTTAATACATTGTTGTATACCTTCCAATAGGGAAAATCATGTGATAAAACGAAACTGTTTGACGCCAGCAATTTGTTTTTTAGAGAATGAATATACATTGAATTTATCGGTTCTACTAGTTAGTAAGCATACTTCGATTCCCTTTCGAAGTCGCTGGGCTAGCTAAACAGGCTGACTGTTATTAAACACCATATCCAAACCATATTGAGTATTTAATACTTGTCAGCAACGATGCTAGCGGGCTGCTATAACATGGACACAAACGTGTTCCACTCTAGTGGTCTCGATTTCAAATCCTTGACTGATAACCGATTATCTATAGGATGTAGTATAAGTTTAATTTGTGATTTCCAGCCTGAATGATCGTGCGGTTGAACTGAAGATTGCGCCATTATATTAACTGCGAAGGTTGATTTGCAATTGAAAGTTGATTTTGATACATAAATTAAATTTCCAGTTTTAGCAAACAAAATGATAGCTAAACGCGAATGTGTATAAAAAACTAATACAAAATGATCAACTACCCGACAATAAACGGGTGGTGCCCTTAGTTCACAGTTTGATCCTAGGTTGGGTCGATGTATTCGCACTATAGATGCTTGAAATTGTTCTACATTGCTTGTCTTTTCTTCGATGCTGGCCATATTTTCTCTTTAGGCTGATAACTTCATAGAATTGAGAAAAATCATCCTTTACCGAACGAAGATAACACTGCAGTAAAGGCAGTGAGCCAGAGTTTATTGCTCTAAGTTAAAATGATATTCATGAAAGCTACATTATTCTAATACTACATGAATTATTTCGATATCAAATGCGATGGAAGTGTTTGTGATAACCGATAAATACCACTGGCTAGCTGTTTTGTCCTGTTTGGGACTCTTCAGCGGTGCGTAGAGCGAAGCGTATCGACGTTTTTCGTGCAAAGTGGAAGTACTGTCACTTTTGTTTTAGAAATATCTTACTTACGTTTAAGGTATATCAATTGCACCAACAAAAGATTGCAATTTGTTAGAGAAGTGTAAATATATGGCCAAAAGAAATTCAATGCAGAAAAAGGTCTGAGCCATTATTAGAAAAGCGTTAGAGCAGTGGCCGAAGCAGTTATTAAGAAGCACCTTAGATATAATCTGTGCGTAAAAGAGAAAGGTGGATTTAGGATGAATCAGCAAACTAACGGAATTTGCAGATGACTTTTGTCTGTCTGTCTGTCATTCGCCCGTCTGTCTGTCCGTTTTGCTCTTTGTTTTATGCATCAACGTATGTATGCAAGCTGACTATCTGTCTGTCCGTGGTTTCCACCAAAATATTTTACCTTCTTTATCTGTACTATACAGGAAAACAAAGCACATCTCAACTTCAAATTTTCCACGAAAGGAAAGCACCATGAGATATGCGGATACGAAATTATCATTCCGTGTGGAGAAATCTCATTGGCGGATGAAACTTCCTTCCTAATCTGCAGTAAACTACTAAAAATCCCTTAAGGCGGGAAGCTTTATTCAGTCAAAGAACAAATAAACTCAAACGAGAGAGACTGACAAATATCACTGATAGCTACGTAAAACTTCTGATTAGGATGATATTTCTTTCTTTCTTTTAATGTCCTTTCGTTTCATGAATTAACGGATTGTACAATCACTTTAACAGGAAGAGAGTGGTAACTCAAGGAGTCACCACATGGGTTGAGGATGGGAGGAAAGTGAGTGCCCAGTGGTGGGGATCGAACTCACCACAATTAGTTGGTAACCTAGAGCTCTTGGCTACCACTATAATACATTTACATGCATGCAAAAGCTGCTCTACCCCTAAAGACAACTAAACTTTTCGCATAGAATCTATGTTCATAACACTTCTCAATGACCAATAGGTAAGGCCTGAAAACTAGTGCTCGTGCGAATGTGGTTCGTTAGTCGCAACCGGTTGAAAGTATGACTTGTGGCCATTTGTGAAAAAATGTCATTGTCCCTGTGGCGCTCGACGTTTACGTGGGTCTTACGTTTACGGCACTTATCTGAACTTTCCCCTCCGATTGTCGGTGAAATCAGTACCTTTGCACCAATGACTCCTGCATCCGGACTGCAGCGAAGCAATGTTGCCAAGCGCGTCATTCAAAATCGATCCATTTGTGTGCTATTTCAGTGCTTTGTGTATGCCACTTCCACCTACATGAAGCAGTAACTATCCCAACGACGGAAATTTCTTGATTTTGTCAATTTTATTCGGCTTGTGAGTGAGCTTAGAAGTAAAACAAATCATTCTTTCAATAAGTATTGTTAAAATATCATAAAATTTTTAATGCTAGTTAGCGCTTGATGAGGGGAAAAAGAATAAACTATATGGATTATCCTGTTGGCAACGCATTCGAAAGGGGTCAATCACAAAATGATAAGCAATTGTACTTACTTAGTTGTGATTTAGAACCTTTTCTAGCCGCACTGGCTATAAATTGTTTGGCTCGTCGATGTAGCGATTTGGGTTCCCCTTTTCCGTGGCTGCGACTGTTCGTTTCACAATACTAAATGCAATTGCAAGCGAATGATTACAATTCACACTAGTCACAATTTGCACTTAATTATTTGCGGATTATTCAAGTATTTTTGTTGGCAAAGGTTTTAGGGATGAATATTGTTTTATGCACCAACGATTCATATCAAATGACGATCTATGTAGCTGCTTATTCATTAGCGACCTCAATAATATTCCAAATGGCTCAGTGTCCTTAGGTGTGAATGTTTTTGAATGCAACGGGTCACTTTTCCTGTGCACCTCGTCAAATGTTCCTATGCGACCAGACCTTTCAAACAGCCTGTGCTGAAGAAAACCCTATCCAGTGCTTTCCGCGGCTCCGATGTTTTTCCATCAAAGTATAATAACTCCATTGTCGGATCTGTATTTTTCAGATGAGGAATTTCCCCTTATTTCTCTCTCATCGCTGCAAGTGTCAAAGTTTGTCAGTCAAGCCACATACCTGTTGTCCAAACTATCCGTGGATTCTACTTTTCATATGGTCTATCGTTTGTCTGTGCTTGTTAGGAGAAAGTCGGCAAACTCTGATCTGTACGGTCCCCGCGAGTGCCATGCGCCAACACAAAATGCAGTGGAGATGTGCACCTATAGTCACATTTATTGTGATTTAGGTCTGCCGATAGAATCAGATTTTGTGGGAAAAAATACCCGTATCCACAGGAATGTCATGCATAGAACGGATGGGTTTATTGAAACAAGAATATTTTGAGTAAATATAAATATGTCACTTGCACATCATTTCAAAGCATACCGGTAGTTTTCATACGCACACTCACGGAACATATATGATTATTTCTGCTCTATAATGGCCCCTGTGAATATCTGATGCACTCTTTAACGTCCTGCTACAGGACGGTTTTGCCCTGATGAGTTCAAGTTGATGAGACGCTTAATTCTGTTCAAACTAAAGTGATTTTTTGTAGTTATAAAGTCCAGTCTTACCATTTTCTCTTCTGAACACAAGGGAAATATGCATGCGTTTAAGGGTTGCATCAATTCATTTTGCCTGAAAACTTTGATAATTTTATGATCACTTAACTTCTTCATCCATGTTGTTCTTCAGTAATTCTTTACACCATTCGCCTAATATCGTTCCCCCGATATCGGTGGAAACGATACTCTCAACAGGAGCAAGCCTCTTTGAAATTCATCAGGAACTTATTTTCGACAAAGATGTAGAGTCCACATGAAACGCCATCGTCATTAAGTACATAGATGTACTCATGGGTGAAATATGGGCACTAACGGCTGATAGCATTTCTTTGTGAACTTAGTTATTGGTCTTAATGTTAACTTTAAAACAAGGTTTTTATCGTTCATATTTTATGAATTTTTCAGTCACAGTTTGACTTCGATGCGGTAAACCAGTTTGAAAAATCAGCCAAGAACCCGTATGTATCTTCTCGATTATCTCTGTAGCCCTGTGACACGATTCTTGCCTTTCCAAAGGGGTTTTGTTCACCGATCAGTCAACGCGATGGAAGCGGCTTACAGATAAAGAGAAAATCAGAAATGTCATCTTTTGATGAGATCAATGTCAGCACAAATAAGATGAACACAACATATAACAAGTTCCAGTAAGTTCGTTTATTATTGAGATAGAAATTAATTTAATTTCAATGGATCGGACGTGTGGATTTGCTACTGGTATAATCTTTGGAAAAGGGGTACATTAGTGAATGGATTTGCGATCAAAACTCCCTAATGATACAAGATGCATCATTAAGCAACGGCCCAACCGAACTTACCCCAATGCGTGGATCAGAGATTCTGGTGCATATATTCGTACACGGAAGTGGTACCCAGTGCTAGGAGTGATATCGAATAATTACCCTGAAGCAATATTCCAGCATGGTAATGCTGTAGTTAATTACTCTTATCTAACAAATTGCTGGTAATAGTTTCGCGGTATCGAAATAATGATGTGCATTCCATATGTGAACCCTATATAAAAGATTTGTGTTATTTTTTCGCAAAGTTCTACCAACACTTCAAAGTTTACTCCATAAAACATGGATCAGACGTACTGTTGATCAGTGGGGATTCAGTACTTTTGTCATGGTAAAAAGTCCGTTTTTTCGACAAATTTTCGTTACAATTGAAGGTAATTTCATGAAATTTCTCATTTCAGCTTCTCTTTTGGAGGTCGTCTTGACTTTCAAGACGGCGATGATGCCGCAAAGGGAATCGTATATAGTTGAAAACCCAAGTGCGGGGGTGGAGTGTGTGTGTATGTTGATGTTGCAGAATGCACATAGGACAAAATGAACGACACGTTTAGGGTGTGCAATCTCACCAACCGGACAACGGCCTCTCTGGATTGTAGTGTGCGCCTATCACTTCACCCCGCTATAGGTCAGGTTTTGACTAATTAACACTTCCTAGAAAATTACCTGCTCCGGTTTGAGCATCGTTCCAATAGGTAGTACATTGAGTTCTTTCTAATTTATGTTCTTATGGTATGATTTATTTGCAACACACCCCAATGGGGGTGAAATATAACAATGCTGTTTTCTGCACGCTAATATTGATGTAAAAATACCACCAGATGGTTGCTGTTGTTTGTATTCGTCAGTGAATGCATGAACTCAAATGACGTGTTCAATGTCAACAGATGCGGTGGCAAGTGTATACGCTCACCAATATTATTTACGCAATAGTATTGTGTTCACCTTTTCGCAGTGCAGCAAACCAGAAACAGTACGCATATAAAACATTTCAGTATGCCACACCCACACATTTTACATTTTCACCGACAAATGGCATGTGTTTGGCTGATCGACGAAACTGAGTGTACGTGGTACAATTGTCCTGTGTCGTTAGTTTCCATTCATTGAGTGGTAGTTGTATAAGTTGTTGACCGAAATGCAAGCCATCTAACGAGTTGTGTATCACAAAAAATCGGAAGACATTCTAAAAGCACAAAACATTCACGCTTCATGTTTGGAAGCCCTCATGTGTGATGCCAAAATTTGATGATCACGTGAGAATATCGACGACTGAATACGGCTCGCATTCTCAATCTCGTTTGAGGTTCATGTCTACAGCACCGATGTATTCTTCATTCACATTACGGAAAATCGACGAAACGGAACCATACCTGATCGATTTTGGTCATCAGGCATTGGAACTGAATATTGCTGAGGACATTTGCTGATATATGGTGCTTCACTAGTTACTGACTATCGGAACATGCACCCAGCATTATTTTCCTTATGAGTTCTTTAGTTGTATAATGCAAAAATAATTAGACGAAACAAAATGAAGTCTCCGCAGTATAAAATAAAAAAGCTATCCTAACCTGTAAAATATTCTCAAGTCGTCCACTCTAAATGAAAACAAACTAGGATTGGACGCATCAGTGGCATGACATTATTAGCTCAATAATTTTTAGCGTGCACGCCCATTTCACCCAGCTGACTTTCAAATAACAATTGTGCTGCATTTAGTCCTTCCTTTCGGGTACTGAAAAGAAAACCTCTGCTGGTCTTAGCCTCCGTAAAAGTCAATGAAGCGGCGCATAAATACCTGATAAACATTTGCTTATCAGCCAGAAAGATCGATAATGAAAGCTGTGGAATTGCATGTTTATTTTCAGTCGCATCCGAATTTCATTTTCTGTTTCGCCGAACTGGATTTTAAGTAGGTTGTTTACTTAGAATTACAACTACGTTGTTTACCGATTCCTTTTTGGGATTTGTTTATAAATACTTAAGTTACTAACCGTGGTTAGCACTGCTTTCAACGATAATGAATGTAGTTAGTCGTTGACGTAACCAAATTGAATTCATTTAAAACCTATAGAAAGCCACTGTTTTGAATAGACCACCTCTGGCACGAACCTATAGCATGGTGAGTTTCCTGAACTTCATTGTTGTCAATTAAGAAAACTAGGTGTGCATATGCCAATTCGTCTGTATTATCCAATCCAAAAAACCTACCTGATAGAAACGATAAGCATAATGTGAAGAGGGACTGAGAAGAGGACTACACAGCAGTTTATTTCTTGTTGGGATCCATGAATAATGGGAAATCCTTCAGGCTGTGAACCTAGACGCTGAGAACTGAGTCACGCAATTCGCAACACAAAATATGGATTTATTTCAAAGGAATGAACCAAAAGACTAAAAGCAAATTGTGACCATAAGTCTTACCCAGTGCCCATGAAAATAGAAATAATTTATCTTTAGATAGCCATCTGCATTCATTCTTTAGAATAATTGTCATAATATAATTGTTAATTGTTTCGTTTTTAACGAAAATGTCACGAAAGTGAAACGCCCCAAAAACTATTCGGCTCACCTCACCACTAAACACCGTTTTCCATTTTCGTAGTCGATCTCTCGACCCAATATACCGTGATGGTTCTTAACGAGTTACAGGGAATATGTCCCCAAGACCCAGTACCGTAGTGCTGTGGAAACTGTTATATTTAGTCGGATTGTTGACGTGCTGAATTTCAATTCTCTAATTTTTTTTTAGTGATGGAAAGCTTAACAAGATTAAAAATTGTTGAGTGATCACATAATGGTAATTAAATATGGCCTCTCGAAAACATGAACTTACATCATCCGCATCCGAATAGTAGGAGGATCGGTTCTCTCGATTTTTATCCTTTTGCTTGCTGGTACCTTTGTCGCTTCCGAAAGCCTTTTTGTGCAGTTGCTTGATCGAGACAGATGCAATGCGATTTGCTTTCTCAATCAACGGCATTGCTCAGTTAAGCAACAAGTGGACTCTGTGGTTCGGGCGATATTGGGTAGGCGCATTGCACAGAAATGAAAAGATTCCCGGTCGGATGGTTTATGCACAAACAAGATGTGTATAACTCAACAGTGCAATGCAGGGTATGGAAATGATCTACAGTGAACATTAAAGATGATCAATGGAAAAGTCAATTGATGGGGACTACTCAATAGAGAATCGAGACAACTAATTCATAAAAAATCAACGTTGATGCAAAATACGAAATCATTATTCGATTTTAAGAGGATTGCGTAAATAGTGGGAAATTACGTCAGGAAAAAGACTAAATTTTATAAACCACCCGAGAGGTTGTCTGCCATCGAAGTTACTGAAGACATGTTACCCAACTACTAGTGACATTTCTTCGAGGCAATCAGTTTTCGTGTTAAGCACATATCGTTGGTATGTCAAGATGCATTTTGTTCCGAATTTTGTAGTTATGAGCATAGTTTCAGGCGATCAAATAGATTCGTCCGTGGTTTATCACAATGCAGTGCAGCTCTCAATTCTTTTGCCAATCATTGTTTCAAAACAGCAAATTATGTCACCTTGTTTGGCTGAGAATGTCATCTGGTGGAAACCTAAATCTGTCTTTGCGGATAATCAAAAAGAACGCTTTACATTTTATTAAACCATCTGTTCCTACTATTGCCATCAACCTCGAGATCAAAAGAGAGTTATCTGAAGTTCGTTGCAAACGGCAATGCACACTAGTTGAATAGCGCGACCGTCAAAAATCCATCTGCCGATTTGGGCATTAAGTGGGCCAAGATTGAAGGAAATCTTTGTTTCTGCCGATCCCCATTTCTTATCGTACTTCGACAACTAACCGTTGTGAGTACATTAACTTTCATATTCGGTACAAACCCGAATTTTCAAACCCACTATTCTGGGTATTTATGCGGAAGTCATCAGTAGTCAATGTTGAATTAGTCCATCTTATAAGACGTCTGATTGTGGAAAATGACTAGACATTCCTTCTGAAATCGAAATCCTCCGAGTACCTTTCAGAATGTAATGCACAACTCATTATCAAGCAACACGATCTCGTTCGTCTGTAAGCAACAGCTAATATAAAAGCACTTTAATGATTCTGTCTCTACCAACAAAATCTTCCTAGGCCTTTCAAGGATTGGACAGATTACCGCAAACAACTTTCAAAGAGGTTTCACTACCCACCAGGTATGCATTTCCAATACCAACTCCTTGACTAATTGGAATCTGCTTGCTAAAATATTAGTTATTCGTTAATAAATTACTTGCTATTTTTGGAGTTCCATATATGATATACTAACCATGGAGCACACATACAACAACATTGGGTTTTACGTTTGGTATTCGGTAGATAAAAAATGAAATCATAAAGCCGACGGATAGGAAAACTCCACGAAAGTAAGGTTTTGTGCTACGGAGCAATTACGTATACAAATGAAACGCCGTGATAGTTTGAACTCACTATGATACATTCATCGACGAGTGAGAACGGCAACAGGTTCCCCTGGTCCTGAACAACGCTAAATACCAACTAGAATACGAACGTTACCCACATTTGGTGATAGAAATAGACCAATCAGTGACCTGCAAGCTCAGTTTTCCGCAACTAGAAAAATTAAACAAACTGGTCATTTTGTGTGAACTTTATAACGATAGAAGTATTAGGAGATATGCCGCAAAAAGCAACTAAGCGTAAGAGTGATATGTAATATATTCCTCCTCTTAAATCCTTGTGAATGTGGTGATGCAGATCCTGGGCCGATTTGATTGTAGGTGTGCAAGAACGAATGAGTAGAGAAGGCAGTGCTTATTTGCCAAACACGGCACAGATTGCTTAGATCTGAGATCAGACATCGGAGGCCATGATGGGCTGCCTGTTATGCGTGAGATGATACGTTAGCAAACACCGTAAGATGAAAAGCTTTTCATGCACCCTCTTTTCATCGGAATGGTATGATCCCTGATGAGATTTGAGCCAACGCTTTAAAGCGGTACATAAGTGTCAAACGTGTGAAGTACAACCTGATATATGAGGTAACTTCCAAAACTTTGGCATTTAATTTTCTAATAATAACAACCTAGTTTACAGAGGCAAGCGGGTTCATTAAGTCCCATTTATACTCATTGCTACGGTAGGATTTCCCTTGAGTTAAGTAGAGTTCAAAAGTTTACGTCTAGGATCAATTAAATGATTCAAATTTGAAAGGTGTATTGATTTCAGACACATCCATATGGGGATTTGAATAACTCCAGGACTTCTGATTGTTTCACAACTGAATTTCAAGAATACTGCCAAACATTTCTAACCATTGCAACTCAAATAAACCGAAGGGCGTTTTCGGTGAACTAATAAAACAACATATGCAGTGAATAAATAGTTAAATAGACCCACTGCATGATCCATTCTACGAAAATTTTGGCGGCGGACGAGTTTTAAGGTAGTCAAGATAGCCACATTGAGGTTCTGATCTCAAACCCTACCACCGTCGTCTATATTCTCAACTTGTTCATTTCCCGAGGCAGCCTTTTTTCTGCCATGGCCCTATCGCACACTTTACTAATAAATAAACAATAACAATATTTATCCATTTCACTTAATAAACACCACCACCATCATCACCACCACCAACAACAACAACACATTTAAGAAAACAAATTTAATGCAGTGAGATCGGTCACATGCATAATAGTTGATACAATACGATACATAAAGGTACGCAGTGATATCTGCTTGGCGTAGACTGGATTTTTTTATTCTTCTGAAGCGTCTAGCATACAGAAATACACATCTAGGTAAACACAAACCCACATACGTAGCACATAGGAAAATATGGTACTATTTTCAGAATGGTCCGATTAAAATCTTTTGCGATTAGGACGGGGATTAAGATGATGTTTTTTTCGCATTGAACACACCAATTCCGAATTACGTCATTCACACAACCACTGAAAATGCAATCAAAGATTGCCTGTTGTGTGTTTCCTCAATCCAACTAGACCAGTAACCTGGTACGGTCGTATGGAATTTGTATTTATCATACACTGCATATGGCATGATATCGATCCGAATAGACTGTACAGTATACTCTGGAATGCCAGTCCTTATATGGATTAAATGTTCTGCCATGGTGTGATGTTTCATGTATGCAGTAGAAACCCCATTTCCGAACGGGATTTATAAATGCGCTTTCTGATCGATACATTTACTATCTTTATATGAATCGCAAGTCTTTAACTGCAGATTTTCATTTTCTGTAAGAGCGAACCATGTGTTTTCCACTGTTAAAAGTGACTGTGGGAAGTTCACGCTTCAAACTGGGAAGGTCGGATGCATTGAGAACAAAGATTTGAATCCTCTCATTTGCGGACAATAGCCCTGTAAATCTCCTCAATCAGCTCTCGACTCTAATCACATATTCCATTTCAGATTGTTCTATGTTCCTCATGGGATTCGATTAAAGGTATGAGTTACTAAAACCAGTATGTGAAGAAAGATCACTCATCACTAACGCATACCGTTGATGATCAGTCAGATAGGGGTTGTCATTACAATATTAAACCGGAGGTCACCTGTTCTAATTACACTACCATCTCCGTCCATTTGAAACATTTCTACATTCCGTCAGGCATTCTCAGATAAGCCTCAGCTGTCTTCGTGAAAAATATTGTGTAATTGTAAATGTGGCCTGTAAGAAATTAGCCAAATAGTAGCGGTATTCTTTTATATTCCTTTGATAACGTTGCCATCAGTCTAGCAAATCAGCAATTAGCTGGCGTGATGTGTAAAGATCGATCAATTCACTGGATCCCAGACGATACGATGATTGTTACTTCTCAGCATGAAGTATCCAATAACAATCCTTTTCTGTGTGTAAAAGTACCCTCCACCCTTTACTGATTTTCGCCATTGATGTCAAAACACAAATTTCACTTCAAAATCGAACATTTCTTGGTAAGCTGTCAAGCAAAATCCTCTTTGAGCTGATAGACAAATTATTACTATACGATACGTCCTCCGACCGTGATGTGATAGTTGTAAACCATCAGTTATGTTAATCAACTACAATATTGAAAAATATTGGTACACTTAATTTTGTTAGAAAAGATTGCCAGCGGTACAACACAAGGTTTGTGGGGTCACCTGGAATTGTCGAAGTTCATGCGTTGTGGTGATATTCCGATACTCGCCTCAAGGCTCGATCAGCTGTGATCTCCACTTCTTAACCACTATTGATGATTATCTATATCCTTGAGTCATGTCAGATGTCGTTTGTCAAAGTTGATGGCAGTTTCCGAATAGTTACTAGCTTAACTCAATGGCTGTGTGCTGGAACTGTACATTTGCTTCCGAAGTGAATTATGTCCGATATCATGTCACTGAAAAGAAAGTTGCCCATTCGTGCAAACTATCATCGATATCTTTATGTGCGAAGCAACAGGACACTTTTATATTACTCATGGTGTTTGGCCGGGTTCCTTTTGGTCAACATGTCTTTGTCCTAATGACCGAAAGTGACAGATTACAATCCAGCTGACATCTGAATCGAAACGGATAGCATTCACAATAAATTATAGCTTTTCATTGTGGTTAACGGTCGTTTTTGTTAATGAGTAGTCGACGCTAGCTCGCGTTACACGTCCATTATTCGAGTTCGGGTAAATCTTAGTCTCCGGCTTCGAATCCCACTCAATTCATCCGGGAAGGATTATAGTTGTTTATTTATCTTAAAGTGTTCCTCTTTTCATCGAAAAAGTACGAATGCAACGACCAAACAATAACATTGTAAGTTTGAATGTAAGTGGATGTGATTGATCTCTTTCGCTGAGCTTTCGTTAGATAACAAGTTAGACAGTGAAAATCCTGCAAGGAAACTATTGAGCCAAGATTTCTGTGCAAAAACAATTTCCATTCAATCAAGAAAAACTTATGGAAGCCATTGAGAGCCATTTCAACCAATCAGTTGGACATATAA